AGAATTGAAGTTCGAATTCATGATTTCAGGTTAGATTAATTATTAATTAATTAAATATGGATTGAAATAATTAATTATTAGTAATAAATTATATTATGATTCATTGTTATTAGACACTAATTATGATTATAGAGAAATTATTTGATTGGATTTTGTGTAAGAGATAAAATTATTTGATTGAATTTTGTGTTTGCGTGAACGTAATAAATTTGGAATAGTTAAGTTTAATGAGAGACATGCCCTTGATGTGTTATAATTTATGTTAAATTTATCATTTCAAGGTCCCTGGAATAATGAGACAGGATGAATCGCCACAAAGATGGATGGACGACAGATATGTAGAAACAATAGTTCATGAAAGATTGAAAAGTGTGATGATTATATGGAATCATGGAGGTACCAATGTTGCTATTGCAGGTTCATGGAACAACTGGGAAACAACGTAAGTACATCAACTTTTTTCATCACTTTTTACTTATATTCTATAAGCACAAACACAGAGACACCGACACTCATGTACGATGTCCACTTTTTGACTTTTCTAACACATGTCATATAAGGTTTTCTTTCAGAGAAGCCTTGCAGAATGTAGGTCAACACTTTGCGATTGTCAAAACACTTCCGATAAGAATCTATCATTACCGTTTTATGGTAGATGGTTATTGGACACACGCTCCAGAGTTTCCATCGCATCTTACTAATTCGGGTTATGTCTACAATATATTGGATTTGCAGGTAATCTTTAAATTTACTTTCTGTTTCACTTTAATATTGTATACTAGTATCACTGTTGTCGTGTCAGTATCAGTGTTAGTGTTCGTATCAGTGTTTCACATGTAAGAACTATAATTCATATGTAGCGTGAGTTTAGAGGGTGAGACTAATTGTAACCTGGACTATTACAGGATTATATCCCACTAAGAATACAAAATCCGGAAGATCCACCATCACCTCCGTCGAGTTACGATAACATGCTCTTAAATGAAGATGATTTCAACAAGCCTCCACCAGAATTACCACCACAACTACAAGTTACAATAACAGACGAATACGCGTCGACGAGCAATGCTGGTCCTGTTTCAGTCCCTAGTTTAACACATGTGGACTTGAATCATTTATACATGAGCAGATCTGATGGTGAACAATGTGTGGCACTAAGGTCAACTCATAGGTTTCAACAGAAATTTGTCACTAATCTAATGTACAAGTCCCTGCACAACAGAGAGAGATAATGCAACATTTTACTATCTCTTATTGAACTTTCTTTGAGAACATTTTTTATGGTCATTGATTTGATATGTAGAAAATTGATTGGAATAGGTAAATTAATTAACTATAAGAATTTATTTTCATTTAAGCAAGTTTAGGAATTGTTATTTATTTATTCTGGCAGTTAATATATTCATAACACTATAGTTCTCTTTAGAACTGAATCTATGATGACATTTTGGAAGGAGTTATTTGTTCAAGTTTAAGAAGTATTACTAGTGAAGTGTTTAAAGTAAAGTTGGTGAACATGAAGATGTGGACACAAGACAAGACAAGAAAAGAAAGTGTTTGTGTGATTTCATCATATAATGGTTACCTTAATCCAACCAAGACAATGATTTTTTATTTATTTTAGATATCTTGCATCATTTTTTTTTGTCCGAATAAAAGATTGAATTTTAAAAGATCAATCTACATGAACTTTGTTCTTGATGACTGCTTCAACGCCACCAACGGTTGAAGTTGAAGAAAATGATAAAATTTAAAAATATCAAAGCTCAATCTGACTTAAGGTCTTGATGTGTGCTTCACCATTTCAAAGAACGTCATTGATCTCAACACTAGCATAAGTGTGTTTAATGTTTTGCTTTGTGCAGAACATGGAGGTACGCATATTCGATTGGTTGTGCAATTATTGTAAAAGTTAATTAAACTATAACTAATAGTTGAAAACTCTAATAAGAGAACCGATTAAAACTCATTCGAGTCCTTTGTCCTTTTTTCTGCATGAATATATAATGACTATTTTTATATCACGATTATTTTATAAAAAATTTGTGCGCACTGTCTCATTATGTAATCCGCTTCGTCTTACTATATCATCCAACATTTTGGATGAAATTACAACCGACAAAGGTATAATTACCTATAAAATAACTTGTCACGACTGTATATACTTTACGCTAGTAATTGTAAACAACTTCAAAAAAATATTTAATTTCAATAGTCTAACCTATGGTTAATTTTGAAATGCTATCTAGATTGATTTCCTCAAATTTGAATACAAGAAAAATATTAAATTCGAAAACGGAAAAAAATATTAAAACGCGAAATATTATCTACACTAAGAATTTTATCACATAAATAAGGGAATTTTCTAGAGGACTTAATCCTGGATATGAATCTATAATGACTCTTCTTATATCACGACTATTTTATAAAATTGTTGTGCATGATGTCTCGTCACACAATCAGCTTCATCAGACTACAATCATCCAACATTTTGGGTTAAGTCACAACCAACAAAGGTTTGATTAACCATAAAATACCTTATCATTACTGTATATATCTTATGTCTAGTAATTATAAACAACCTCCAAACTATATTTAATTTCAATAGCATAATTTTACGCTTAGTTACCAAATGCTATCTACATCAATTTCTTTAAATTCAAAAACGGGAAAAATAATAAACGTAAAATATTACTCCTTTCGTTTCATATTATAAGAGAAATTCACTTTATAGATTCATTGAATAATTAATATATATATATATATATATATATATATATATATATATATATATATATATATATATATATATTATATATATAATATATATATATATATATATATATATATATATATATATATATATATATATATATATATATATATATATATATATATATATATATATATATATATTGATCTTACCGGATCAGAATGGACCGTCACAACTAGTTCGAACAAAAGTTGAATGAGATGGGGGTACTTGCAAGATACTCCGATGACAAAGTAAGTTGCGGAATGAGCAAACAAGCGTAAGGGTTAGAAAGTGTTGAATACCTGACCCTCTCGAAAGAGAGGATATTTATAGCCCCTAGCACTGGGCCAAGGTCTCTTTATTGGGCTGACCAAGCAGGCCCAACATAGAGACTGACAGGTTCTACGTGAGTAGTGGAGACCCGCGAGTGGCCCCTACCTGGATGACATCCTCCGCAAGATCAGGAGGAAATAGATGCGATCTTTCCGGGACCATAAAGACTCCGCAATATCCGGAGACATTGGTAGTCAGTCTTACGAGGAAGATGCTCAGGAGGAGTACCTGCTCGTCGTGGGTGATCCCCTCCAGATATGAGCTCGATAGGGGACCAGTCTTAGTCGACGAGCTAGTTGAGGTGTCCTCAAAGCCTTCATGGTCGGGGCATGAGTGTCCTCAGTCTATTTGGGCGTTGTCCCCACGTGGTGAGGTTGTCTCCTCGCAAGAAAAGGTAGGTAGTTGCCCGCCATGTTCGAGGGTAGTACAGGTCACTGGTGCAGGATGGCACACTTGGATTGGGCCTCGTTGAGAGTTGGGCCAAGGGCAGACCCAGTCCAGAACAGGATCCCCTCAAGTCGTTTCTCCTGGTGAATGAGTCATGACTTGATTCAAGTTCGTACTTTCACGAGGTGCTATGCTCGACATGGAGTTTTTCTATCGTGGATGGAGAACGTCATCAGTTCATGATTTTGCTCCGGGCAGCGGTCGGAGCGAGTTTGAGGAGGACTCGCGGGGAGAAGATGATACACTTGTCAGATACGTGGCGTGGCTCTTAGGAACAGTGATGATGACCTAGGGAGTAGGGGCCACCATTGCCTGTACATATAGGTGTCGGGGAGAAAGAGCGGCTTGTGACTGCCCGACGTGATGTTTCATATTCCACGTCAGCTCTATAAATAGGGCTCCTGGGCTCATAACTTAATTTCACATTTTCGTGCTCTACACTTTCTCTGCCGTCAACATCGTGCATTTTTCCAGAATCCTTGAGACCGCCGCATAGTCCGCCGAGTAATCCTTCTTTAAACAACCGTCACTCTTCATCTTTTCTTCAAGTAAGCGTTCTTTTTCCTTGATATCTTGTGTGTAGATAGATTTTGATGATGTTTAGTAGCAGGGTTTCGTGTCTAGGGGTTGCGCCCCGAGAAATCAGGCGTTTAGGGCGTTTGATTTATGATCATGCTCGTGGGGTTCATGCGTTTAGGCATATGATTTATGATTATCCCTGTGACATTCATGCGTTTAACTAACAAATTTATGAACTCGGTCATGAGATTCATAGTCTGCTCGCCATATTCTTCCTATGCCCGGTATATTTATGACAGACATAGGCGTTCGTCGTAAGGATCGCTGCTTGATCGAGGTCCACGTATTTCCCCTTTTTGTGAGAATGGTTGTCGACTTGGTCTGGGCGTTGCTTAACCTCCTCATCTGTATCGCGGGAAGGTGGATTTGCTGTCGAATTCACTGGTTTCCTGTACTTGGCAGGTAAATGGCCGACACTCCTGAGTCATCAGAGCATATAGACACCGAGGGAACCAGCGCGGCCGAGGAGAGCGTTAATCTGGTTGACACCGTCGACGATCCTACTCTAGATTGGGTTGGTGCGGAACCCCGAGGGATAGCCTCGATCTACAGTTACACTGGGAGGCAAGCCTATGCAGGTCATATGGTGGGAATGACGAGAGAGATTGCTGAAGTTGACCCAAGAGAAGAAGAGCAATAAAAGGTTGGTGAAACCGCAGCAAGCTACGTGTATGGGTCCAGCCCCCGAGCCGGTCAGGGAAGGATGTAGTGGGTCCTCGGGTTCTCGTGATGTCGATCCCCAACCTGCATTGTTGAGCAAAAAGCGGAGTCGACCAAAAGGTGGGCATGCTGATGTGACTGACGGAGGGGCGGGTGCCCGGGCCTTCAGCCTACCACCCTGCTTCATGGAAACAGACTTCTTCGCGGGGTTTCCCTTGACTGTGTCCGACAACGAGGCTGACATCATCAGGCGGCTCGACAAGGAAGGTCAAAGGAAGCACCTCGCTGCCAACATGGTCGGGGTGGTCAAGATGGCAGAGATGGCGGTTGTCCTGGTGGGCGAAGGGTCAGACTCCTCGGATCGGGTCAAGGAGTTGGAGTCAGAGAAGGCGACTCTTGTGACAAAATCCCGCAAACTGAAAACTGCTCTCGAACTAAGTGAGGAGATGTTTCGTGAGCAGTCTGACGTGCTAGCGGGGGGAGAAGGAGAGAGCCGACAAAGCCCTCGAAGACAAAGAATGCCTCCAACTTGATAAGGAGTGGTTGGAGAGTGACAACCAACAGATGATGAGGGATGTTGTAGATCTGAGGGCTATTATGTTACCCACGGAGGGCGAGCCTTAAGGGGTGGTCGACTTGCGCACGCGTGCTGATTTCATTGCTCGCATTAAACTCTTGGAGTCGGACTGCGTTGATGCCTTGGCCGACGGCTTTGATTCTGCTGTGAATCAGCTTGTCCTTACTGAATCCGGGGTTAAATACTGAAGGAACTTGGGTTCTGTCCCAGGTTGTTGATGGTCGGGTGGGTCCCTCCTCCTGACTCTCCTGATGTCGAAGTTAGCACTCCGAGGAGTGATTGACATTTTTGTTTTTTCGTTTGTATTTGGGGCCTGCGTGCCCGTAATTTTTGTAATATTCAGACATCTTCGATCCAAGTGGTTTCCTTTGGCAATTATTTCGCTTTATTTGATGATTATCGTTATTCCTATTTTTTGTTGTTTTTGACTGGTTATTTGATGAATACTTGGTATATCCTTTGGATATACGTGCTCGACCATTGTTGTGGTCATTATGAATTTTCCACGAAGTTCGTGTTTTCCCCCGTGAAGATATGAGCTCGACCCTAATATTAGTTCGACACATGTCAAAATGTGTCGAGGGCACGGAGTGGGAATCTCAGGACGAGCATATGATCGCGATCGGGATCCTACACTCGTGGCATGAACTGCCCATTGCGAGCTGAGTGTTTTGCCATGTTAGGGTACTTCAAAAACAGAGCTCGATCGAGGTGTCCCTGTCGGGCTAGGATGCTACTCGTCAAAATGATTGACATCCTACTTTTTGTTAGTTGGTAGGCGGCATCCGTACCTCGACGCGCCTATGTGGTCGAGCTTTTCCCTTCGTCGACTGAAGATGAATATTCGACAGCAAAAGTCCTCAGCATGTGAGTGACTTAGC